TTTTTCCCACTTCATCATTTTCTTTTCGTCCTTCGCCTCTCCTTTAGTCTTCTGAAGTTCGCGCTTCATCATGGCCCAATTGGTTTCGATCGAGGCATTCAGGTTTGTCAATCTCACCGTTTATGGTGCTTTTGGTCACGAATGGTTCACTCCGTTTGCCACAACTGCATATGGCCGGCCAAATCAGGTACTTCAAAGCGAATTTCGACAGCTTCTTCCGTTTGAAACGGTCATCCACAGCAAACTTGTCCTTACACGTGAAATATTGCTAAAGGTCGAATGATGCATATTCATCAGTTATCCCAAGATGCGATGCGACAAGTCAGGATTTTGCATGTGCACAACTGAGCGGATGTAAACAATACACTCTAAAGATAAACTGGTCAAAATTTGGTTAATTTCAGTCAATTATGAAAAAACTTACGCAAGTTTGAAAGTGTCGCAATAATTATAGACACACCCTTTACTTATACTTTGTTAAAGTGATTACAGCTTATTTTATATACACGGAGATGAAAAACTACCCAAAATTAAGAACTTTTCCCTCAATTCCCGGGTTTAGCCCAATAACCCAAATTTGAGTAAATTGCATATAGCAGTTTCCATTAAACACCAGCAAAAAAATACTTACTCTTAAGTATATTCTACCCAAAATTAAGTTTAATTAACGTAAATTAACTTATTGGGCTGAACTATATCGTTGGGTCAAATATCTCGTTCCTTTTTTGACGACATTAACGAGTGCAAGTGAGAGGCTCAACTCAAAATTAAGTAAAAAGAACTCAAATTTTCGGTGGTATTTTTTCTCCGTGTACACCTGCTTTCCCTAAAACATCAACTGGGTCTTTAGTGGATCCTAACAATGATTTTAACTGGTTATGTCTACTAGTGAAAACTAAATCTAATCCGTTTTTTTATTGTAGTATTAGCTTACAAGTAATATCTTGATCAAATGGAACGGACACTCGTTTCAAGGGTTCAGGCACAGACAAACAGACGTAACTCTTTGAAAAACTTGTTCTTGAAAACATAGTATCTCAAAACATATAACCTCAGTAACGACATCTCTCTGGCTTCTCGCGAAAGACAAGCTTGCTCGCTAACTCGTAAACAATATTGCATAAAAGTTCTATAGAATATATAGTAACGTCAAAGTGATCCGATGCCAGCGCTGCGGCGAGTAGTTCGCGGAACTGATAATATTCAAATCAACCGTTAAATGCATGAACGAAGATACATAATGAAGAGTTACGTCTGTTTGTCTGTGGTTCAGGTACTGAAAATGAGGGTTGTAAATAATCTCCTTTATAGATTTTGGGCTTTTTTTTATTGATGATTGCCTGTTGTGGTCTCCCTTTATCCGTTGAGTCTCGCTATTTCGAAGATGTTCTGCAATTCCTTAACTTTTCCTGATTTTTTTTACATCCTTGTGAATTATGTAGCTCTTATCTAAAATTTGTGGAAGGGCTTCCCGTTTAACCACGCTGAAGATATCGTCGACAAACATCCACCAACGGTTTGGTATTAGCATAGAGGTAACTCTAAGACTATAGTAGGTCCCGAAGAAACGTGCTCAACTTTTTGGCTCAGCTCTGGTACTATCTTCGGTCCTAAGCTAATCGATTCACCCCTCGAAACATAGATAAATCCACTAACCCCTCATTTTATCTGTCAAACTTTCATAGTGAATCAAAACAAACATAGTGTAGTACTGGAATTTATACTAGAATGGGGCACGTTAATCAATTTGCTTGGGACCAATAGGCTAGTCAAGTAGTGAGTCAATTTAAAATCGATAGTTTCGTATTGATTGTTGGTATTAGTCCTTTCTCCTGCAGGATTGTCCCCAAGTTAGCCATGAAAAGTTCACACAGGAAGGGGGATAGGGTAGAGCGCTACTTCGTCGTAATCGCCCATTTCCGTTCTATCGATCAGAAGAGATCAATAATATCAATGAATTCACCGTGCACAAATCAATAATAGGTTTGTGCTGATGCGTTAGTTCATTAGCTACAACATAAATCCTATTAGAGCGCATTGTATGAATATTTACGCTCATTGTTCTCAAAACAAAAGAAGCACTCCTAGCGAATCCCTTTTTTCTACGTTTATGCGTAGGACGAAGAAAATCTAATGGTGTTTCAATGCGTTAGGACGGAAATGAAACTCGTAGAACGAATTTAGAATCAAGAAGCAGTGTTAGATTTTTAACAATAACTCAACAATGTGTGACTCTTTATCAAATCCAACGGTACGTATGGAAAGGTGAATAAATTTAGCAATCATCTGTGACATAAATATTCCATTTTTGTTCAAACCCGTTCAAAAAAGAGAGGTAAAGTGGGGGTTGTGCTTAGTAGGACGGAAATTAGATCAAAAACACTAGGGGATTTCCCATTGGGGCTCTTTTCGTCTGCTTGCAGAAGTTACCTCGGAAAGAGAAGTAGTTTCCTTCCTTACAAAGGCGGGTGAGCTTAATGTACGTCCGAATCTTGTTCCTCCATGCTGCATCCTCTTGTTGTGTAAATAGCAAATGGATGATCGCTTCCTTGGCCAGTACCGCACGGAAAAGAGCAGTGACGTCGAAAGATACCATAATCTCGTTCATCAACGAGAACGAGATCATGAAGATTTTAATTACTGGGCAAACTCCTGTGTGTTACTAACTGCCTTACTCTGGAACTGATTCGGCATACTGTGGAACCCTGTGACTAGCCTCTTCCCTAGTTTATGGGTAAGGGAACCACTTACAGACACGATCTCTCGCATTTCATTCACCGGTTTTTACAATTGAGGAGACCTTTGATCCTGGGTAGAATGGGATTGGATACCCGTAAACGACCTGCTCCATCTTCTAATATTGATTTACACTCCTTCAGGGTTTTCTCCGCGTGTTTCACCATGCCCAAGGAGTCTATTCGAAGCTGCCTATATCATAGAGGTAGCTCTAAGACCAGAATGTCCCGAAGAAACGTGCTCAATTTTTTGGCTGCCTATACGGTCCGTTGTAATATTCGTTGTCATCTGATCGTCGTAATCGTCCTTGTCCATGATAACCACCGCGTTGCCCTTGTCCCTCATGTCATGTCACCGAATGATTTTGAAAAATAAGCCCCAACTTAAGTCTACACCCTGCTCGAATTCTTACAAGAATCCCAAGAAAACTCAGACCAAAACTCCAATGGCATTCAGGCAATGGCAGAAATTCAAGTGAATCTGGATCTCAGAAATTCATGAGTTATACGAGTTCTGGATCTACGGAGAATTTCATTTCAATAGTGTATGTGCATAGTTTCAAGGGAATTCCGATGATTCATAGCGAATTCAAAGCAGAATATTAATGGCCTTGAGTAGTAGAAAATTATGAGAAGAGTTTCAAGCAAATTTTAGACGAATTACTAAAAGAATACGTTCCTAGGGAATTTTCGGCAGATTTCTGAGCAGAATTCTAAGAGAATTCTACGGAAATGTCCATGAATATTTGGAAGGGTTTACTATAAACGAACAAGAATTGTGGAAACAAATTTAAGCAAATTCTTGCGATTATGATTAGGAATTTTAAGCTAATTGTAAAGTAGATTCCAAGAGTTTTCTGGATTATAGAATTCTAAAGCGTTAGGGGCGTCATTTTCATGGTTTTTTAAGGGCGTAGCAAACCTAAAATGAGACGATGTTTACTTTAACTTAGAAAGCCATTAGAAAGTTAAATATGTATGGTAACAAAATCGTGTTGCAGTGTTATGTTTATTTTATTTTTAAATTTTTATATTGCTTATGAGATTCATTCAAACATTTCCATTCACATAGTGCGTTCGAAGTTCAACGTATAGTAGCATTTGCCTCATCAACTATTAGCTATAGAGAGTGGCCCATTTTGAACCCCTGGGCATTTTACTCCTATTTCGCCTGATAAAAAAAAAATCCATATTTTGTCAACTACCTAAGTGAATAGAACAGTTTGCGTGTAAAGTTGCGAACGCCAGTTTAAGCTGAGAACCCTTATGACTGTTGAAAGGTTGAATTAGGATTAATAAGTCCATATGAATCTCTATATAAAAACACCTTAACATCCAACCCTAATTCCTACGTAAATGAGAATAACATGCTTCCACAAGCTGTATAGACATATCAGATTTGCCACCCTTCTACGCAGTAAATTCTGCGGCCAACCAGCGCTAAATGGAAAATTGCACCATTTACGGTTATTGGGCAGGAATAAAAGAATGCCGCGAATTACAACGTCATTAGAGGAGGAAACAATTAAAGGCCACGATACATATGTAATTCACAGAACCAAGCATAAAAACGTGATTTATGCTAATTTGATGCACCCACCATCTCCCCCATTAAGTTGGTTGCCAACGCGTTGAATGATGGCATTAGTTACGTGGAATGGGGGACCTTTATGTGATGCAAGTCACGGAAGGGAATTTCTTTCCAAACTGAATCGAAACATTCATGCTGTACTATCCAATGTGACAAATACACTCCCGCCTCTTGTTTATTTTTGTTTTTTTTTTTTTTAATTTTACTGAGTTTGATTTGTTCTGCAGTATCATATTAGTGTTTGTTTAATTCCATCATCTGCAACTAGGAGGACCTTTTGGTTTCCTTTTTCTAGGCGCACTACCTCCATAAATAACTTATACCAAACTATTCGAACGGCGATTGTGAAATTTTGGCCTGGGCTTTTCGTCGAGACTAGTGTGTAATTTAATGGTTGTTGATAATCAGTACATCCGTCAATATTTGCAAGTACGACCTGTGTTCTAATATTATAACTTGTATGTTCTTGTTATTTTGATTCGAATGAATTTGCTCTATTCTTTTCTGTAACATATCCCAATAACGATATTCGTAATACGGCGTATAAAAACTACATTGATTTCTGTTTGATGCTGGACTGACCGTTTTGTTTATTTGTGTTGCTTTTAAAATGTTCGGGAGTACTATGGATTTTCATTTATGGTGATACATGCTAGATAAAAATTGTATTCATCTTTTGTTTAATTTACCACAGATACATTCGGATTGTATGCGTATATAATAACTGATTTCACATATTACGTTGCCGAAGCTAGTTGTTGTTGATGTTTTTATTTTAGTTGAAATATTGTTCGCCTTGTTTTAATGTGTGATTTTAGAAGTGTGTTGTTTTGGAAGTGAATAGACTGTGCCAAAGGTATAGTAGTTCTTTCTATAAATTTAGTTCCGTTATCAAAAAGTTTGCAGTTTAGCCATCGTTTCAATATCCGCAGCCCACAAAAATATGAATAGATTTTTGTTTTGTTGATTTGTTATACTATCGAATATGTTTGTTTACACTGGTTGGTATCGTTTAAATTTGTATAATGTTATTATAAAAGGGGAGATATATCAGGATACAAATTTGTTCACATAAATCACAATTATATTAAGAGATAGTGATAAGCTTCCTGTTGTGGAATAAATATATAAAATGTGTAGAAGAATTTTTATGATTTTCTGTTTGCTATGCAACATGTCAACAATTATTTTATGAAATGTATGCACCGATCCCGTTGGATTTTGTTCTTCGCGGCGGTGATTTCAGAGTCACGAAGCATTGTATGGCACTAAAACATGGACAACATAAATAACGACAGTAGTGGGTGGAAGAATAATTTCTGGGACCATTATGTGCACATATGAAGTAGGAATGTAGTTTTGATTAGTAGATTGGCTATTCTTCTTCATTGCAGAGTATCACTATGACACAGATAGTTTATATTTATATCGTAGCTTTACAAGAGTTCGCATTTAACATTATTTCATTCATAAGATCATTTCCACTTACCACTTTCGATTCCTAACCCAAAAACCAAAAGCCGATTAGATGAAAACTTGATTCGGATACGGGTTTGGATTTGAGATCTGGATAACTTAACATCACAGACATGCACGGGGACCCAATAGGGGAAATAGGAAGTGCAAATTGTTGATCAACAATTTGAATCAACTTGAAGTAACTGAAGCTCAAAAAGGAAAACATCACAGGTTCTATCAATCGAATAAGTGTATAAAATTAATCCACTGATACTCGAAAGACTCCCCATTTCCCCATCCAGGTAACAACCAAAGCAGCTTGGCTTGGTAAAAGGAAGATTTCATTTTCAATTTTGGAAAACTTTTGCAGAACACAAACCACCGGACAAGGGATTCAAAAGGTAAAACGAATCATGTCTTTTTTCACAATACTTTTCACATAACAACAATTACAGATAAATACTCAATATCTCTGTTATGCATAGTCTTCTAATGTGCTAAACTGTGCTTGTTTTGTATGAGTGTGTTTTTATTTTTGCTCTGTATTACTCTATAGGTTTATCAATATTTATTTTATTCTTTTTTTAAAGCCATAAACATGTAGGAAACATTTCTGTTTTTCCCTTTTCAATTTAATATCGTTTCATTTTTCTCCATCCAAAACTAGTCGTTTGGAGGACAAGCGACAACTTCATCAGGTCATCGCTTTCTCTTCCACATTATTTAATTTGATTTTTGTCCTAGAGTCTTTGTTCATGCATGGTTATAAAGCGTGGTACATGGTCAAAAAAAAGATACATAAAATGTGTATATCTAAAATTGAAGAGTTTAAACCAAACAAAAACGATCTTCGCTAAACATTAAGTCAAATGATGAAAGGTTTACACCAGCTAGTAAATGAGTAAAGAAGCTGTTTGACCACAGCAAAATTTTACGATGACATTCGTACGTTTAAATAATTCCTGTTGAATTTCGGTTACCTACGAGTTGTTTGTAGTTATCTTTTAAGTTTCTCTATAGAGTACGAAAAAATTGGTCCAAAACACTTCCTTCAGTTTAATGCTTACTAGTTGTTTTCTTGTAGTAGGTATGGTTGCACAATGTTTACTTCGGATGGTTCTCTAGATGGGGCATTACTTCCCTACACACGCACACGTCTACCGCATAGTTCTGATTAGTCTGATCAATTTACGACCGATAGGAAATATGATTCTACACATCGCATTGTCTTTCCAAACCTTACTTCACTTGTCGCCGTTGTTAATTTTCTTGAGACCACTCTTGTTGAAGTTACAAATCGAGTCCAACAGGGCACTACGGTTGGAACTGCAGTTGTCATCACCGGAAATTGACTTGTTCAGTTGTCTACCGTTAGAGCGGCCCAATCCGGCCGCCATAGCCTGATCAAACAACGGAAGGGATGATGGTGGCGGAATCGGTGGTGGCAACGGAGACGAAGCACTTCCCCCGCTGTCGGTTGCGTGCGCCGGAGGAGACATCAATGCCGCATCCTGCGGTGAGGTAATACTGTTAGCACTGTCCGATTTAACCATGACAGAACCGGCCGATCCAGAGCTTGCACTAACAGTCACCGTTTGCGGAGGACCATTGCTCAGTTGGAGTGAGTTCTGCGCACGCAGCTTGGCTTGCCGGTGTTCTTGTTTCTGAAAGAGAGTTAACGGTGTTTTATTGCGTTTTCGTCATCACACAATTTAAGTAGACCAAATTTGATAGAATGCCACTCGCGCTCATAATGCCCTTTACTTACTTTTTGACAATGCTTAAATGCCAAACACCATAACTTCCCGTACAAACATTACTGGACCATCTCTTCTTGATTTCCTATGCATGCGGGACAATTATGCTTTTATGGGCAGATATCATAATGTGTATTTTTGGAATATTCCATTAACAAAGATTATGTGAAATTGTAAAAAAAAGGTCTTCAAATAAATGTAAGCCCAACATAAGCTCTAGAAACAACTATTAAGTTATTAGGGAGCTTCCAAAAAAAAAAACAGCTAACTAAATCTCGATTCACTTAAAATTTGGACGCACCGCTTATTTTTTTACAGCGGTCCTAGTGGTCGATTCTCGAATGTTTTGACAGCAGATTATTTGGAAAGCTTTTCTTTTTCAGTGGTAAAAGTTTTGTTACGATTCATTCAGATTTTAAAAAGGTTGTGACAGATGAAAGCCGATAGAAGGAAATTATTTTTGGACACCCACGTTGAAAATCCAACGTGGTTAGGTTAAAAAATCGCTAAATCGTTGGATTTGGCTAAATCTACCATGTGCTGTGTCCTCCAAAGTTTCCGTGAGTGGAAAACTATTTTTCGGAAGGATCACAGTAAGCGTCGTAGTGGATCTTACGACCGGCAACTGTATTGGAAGGTATAGAACAATTTGAGCAAACCCAGGACTCTCTGGTGGCGACATTACAATAAAATACAATTCCAACCGTCCGTCCTGAGAATCCGTTCTTATCGTGCCAGCAAGCAGCCAAGCCGAACACTGAAACAGAACCGAATGGCCAAAACACGCGCTCGGAAGTTATATAGAGAGGTTCTCACGAGGAACCCAGGATGCATACTGATGGACGACGAAACGTATGTAAAGATGAACTTTGGCAGTGGTACCAACCGGTCTAAACTAACGATTTTAAATTGGCTCACTACTTGACTAGCCTATTCGTCCCAAGCAATTTGAGTAAGGTACCAACAATCAATACGAAACTAACGATTTTAAATTGGCTCACCACTTTAGTAGCCTATTGGTCCCAAGCAAACGATTAACGTACCCTATTCTAGTTGAAATTCTATTACTACACTATGTTTGTTTTGATTCGCTATGAAAGTTTGACAGATAACATCAGGGGTGTGTGGATTCATGCAGAACATGCAGGGGTGAGTGAAATAGCTTGGGACTGCTTTGGACCGTTGTTCTGGTACTGAGTGAGCCAAAAATAATAATGATTTTCTTCGGGACCCAGTGGTCTTAGAGTTACCTCTATGAAGGTACCCCATTCTATTCGAAATTCTAGTACTACACTATGTTTGTTTTGATTCGCTATGAAAGTTTGACAGATAAAATGAGGGGTTCGTGGATTTTCCTATGTTTCGAGGGGTGAATCGATTAGCTTGGGACCGAAGATAGTACCAGAGCTGAAGCAAAAAGTTGAGCACGTTTCTTAAGGACCTTCTGGTCTTAGAGTTGGTACCGTGACAACAGGATTGGATTTCATCGAAAAAGACACCCAATCGAGAAATATTAGGCAATTGTTAAGCGGAGGTTGAAAAAGACTGGGGAAGTGACTCGGGATGCTGATGAAGATGAAGAGATGATGGAATAAAATGGCCGCTCAAGTTGACGAACAGAGTGTCCAAAAGATGATGCGAGGTATTTCAAGAAAAGTTCGTCATTTCATCAAAACAAAATCAGAGTAAGACCATAGAGGTAACTCTAAGTCTAGTAGGTCCCGAAATAACGTGCTCAACTTTTTGGCTCAGCTCTGGTACTCTCTTCGGTCCCAAGCTAATCGATTCACCCCTCGAAACATAGGAAAATCTACTAACCCCTCATTTTATCTGTCAAAATTTTATAGCGAATCAAAACAAACATTGTGTAGTACTAGAATTTTGACTAGAATGGGGTACGTTAATCGATTTGCTTGGACCAATAGGCTAGTCAAGTAGTGAGCCAATTTAAAATCGTTAGTTTCCACCTGTTGGTAAGACTGTTGATATTTTTTTCCTAACTATTTTAACTACTCAACTGTTTTAATATCCATCAAAACAATCCCGAGATAGAGCTGATTTCTTACGTCCAGATATTAAGTGAATCGAGCTTTATCATTTATGATTAGAAATGCTTGTTATTATTTCTAGCGTTCAGAATCATAAGGGCCTAACCGCGACGATTGATTCTCTTCATTGATTTTCTCTCTGCATCACTACAGTTCTAGATGAATTCTTCAAAAGGTCCTATCGGCTTTGATCGATTCTTTTGATAACCATCATTGCAGTTAGGAATCGATCATTGCAGTTAGACCCTTATGATTCTGAATGCAAGATGCTTTCTTATTGAAACGCTATGAACACGTAAAGGGGAAAAATGATGCTGAATTCCAAGTCCATCACCTCGATGCTGGTCCTCCCTTGGGCCTTGGAGCCGACCAAGAGCCGAACTAGCCCTGGTTGTCCTGTAACGCGGGTAAGTCGCCTTTTCGTGGTGCGTTACTGGTGTAATATCTACCACATCGAACTCCGGCCCTAAGCTATTCTTGTTGACGGTGATGGGCCTCGATTTTGAGAATCTCCGAGGAACTGAGATTGCAAACAAGAAAAGGTGCGGACCAGGGTTCTGATGCATGGTCCAATATCAGTATCATTGCTTGCTTTTGTTATTAAGGACACCTATTTTGATTTACAAGAAGACGCGGGTTTGGAGAGGTTCCAGAACTTTTCGAATGTACGGAACATCTTAATTGGTTGAAGATTCTTGAGAGATCTATTTTGATTGATGAGAGGTGTTTAGCAGAATGCCGTTTGATAGAATGCCGTTTGGCAGTATGCCGATTGGCATAATGCCGTTTGGCAGTATGCCGATTGGCATAATGCCGTTTGGCATAATGCCGTTTTACAGAATACTGTTTGACAAAATGCTGTTTGGCATGATGCCGTTTGGCATAATAGTTATTTGACATAATGATCATTTGTCATAATAACCGTTTGGCATAATACAGCCAACTCTCCATAGCTCGATACTGAAGGAACAATCGCGTTATAGAACCATAAAAAAATGTCTTCCATAATGTTAAGAATAATCCAGAGTTATTCCATCTACTGTAATATCTGGCCCTATTAATATGCCGCACCTTCCACCACTACACCAGAATACGTTCTGCTGTTTTGTTTTCGTTCACTTTGCTGCTTTCCTTTTTCCTTAAGATGCTTTTCCGGTTCTTTCCGAGCCTATCGCTTGGGGCAGGAAAGCTTCCGGTGTCCGTCCGCCTTGCACAGAAAACATTTATCTTTGTAGCCATAATAAAATATATTTCTTTTGCGATTGAAGAAATGTAATGACGTGGGGATTTTCTTCTTCACATCCATATATATACCGCGTATCCCTGTATATACCTCAAAACACAGATCAGTTGGAAATTTCTCCCGGATGATGCGTTTAATTTTTCCATATTTCCCCAGCACTTTATCCAGCTCGTTGTCGGGTACCTCTGGTGGCAAGTCACACGCACATATTGGATGAATTCACCAGCATGCGACATGCGTACCTTTGCCGTCGTTCCATTCGCATAATGGAAGATTAAATCCTCCGAATTGAATGTCAGAGCATGGAGCATCGCTTCCTCTGATTTGAACTTCATGAAGACTCCCCTTTCCTCACCAATGCGATAAACAGCTTCCACTTCAGCCGGATCCGCGTCGAGTGCTTTGGCGAAATTTACAATCTCTCCGATGTTTGGTTTAGCATCACAATGGCTGAAGCTAAACTTGATGGTGTTTTTTACTTCACACATCTTGCACCTTAGCAACAAAAGGCACTGAACTGATAGCAGCGAACAAGGAGCAATAATATAATAGCGAATCTCGAAAACAGGCTATCGCGTGGTTCACACCGAAACAAAAAATCGACTGCTGCTGTTGACAACTGTGCCACAGATCGAAAAAGCAGTGGGGAGCTGGGGGTTAAGTTTACTCACACTAATGTGCGACCTAAAAGAAATCAAACCAATGAACACTTAAATTACTAACTTTGATATCCGTCCTACATTAGACTATTTTCTCATACCATTTTCAAAAGAAAGAAAAAATTCAGAACACTGCTCACTGCTCCATCCCGAAATGGTTCCCAAAATGTACTCACCGCTTTGTGTTTAATTTTCTTCTTCTCCTCCTCCGAGGTCATCATCTCCTGCACCCTGACTAGACGTTTCTGATTTTTGACGGATTTTTGCTCATCTCGAACCCGGTTCTCCGTTTTCTGGATCGCAATCTTCAGCTGGTCTTTGGCATTGGTTGAAAACTTCAGATACGGCTTCTGTGCGCCCACCGCCATCGCATACTGATCGTTAAAGCTGGCGGCGTACTCACTGAAGAACGGATGCGCCGCCAGTTGATCCAGCGTCGGTAGGACCGACTTGCACGCGTCCTTGGAGAGAATCGATTCCAGCAGCGATTCTGAAAACGAGTAAGCGCCATAAGATCAAACAAATTCCATTTACAAACACACTCACTTAGGCTGTCCGGACAGTCGGTGATCTGCCTAGCGTAAGAATCCTGCAAGGGGTAACCCATGCACATCTCGTACAGCAAATGCCCGAACCCGTATACGTCAATAGACTCGCAGTTGTTTATTTTGCTATGCTGCACAAAAAACGGCCGGTAAAAGGAGGGCACACCGATGATGAAATTCTCCACATCCATCAAGCGCGCTACTCCGTCCACGATCAATACATTGCCACAGTGCACGTGACCGCAAGCCATTCCCTTGGAGTGCAGAAACCGAATAGCTTCCAAAATCTGCCGCGCATACAGCGCTAGCTCCTTCAACGGCAACGGAGCTCTCCCCTTTGGACTGCCGTACTTCGAAAGGAACGGATTACACGGAGATGCCGCACAGAGAACATCCTTCAGACTGCCATGCTTGTAGAACTTCCGAATGGCCAGCGCTCCGTTATCGTTCGATGCAATGTACTCAATTGGAGCAATATAGGGATGCTGGACGCTGCCAAAGTTCTTGAGCACATTGTGAATCTCCTTCTCGTCGATGTATTTGTCCGGTCCAAATTCCGTCCATGTCAGGATCAAGTCATCTCTTCCGATTTCCTTCGTATTGTAGTCCTTCTCCGTCGATGTAGTTACGCAAACCTGAGTCGTGTGCTGTTTACCGTGCGATTGCGAGCTCGACTTGATCAGATGATGCTTGGTGGTGGAATGTCCCGGTGAGTGTTTGTTACCTAGCGGTTTGTGAACTACTTTGAAGTAATGCTTCCGCAACCGCCATCCTATCGGACCCAACGATTGGCCCAGAGTGAATACGCCGTCCGTGCGAAGGCACATTGACGCATACTGCAGGGCCAGATCTGGAGAGATTGAAAGGGAAGGGAGGTAAATTCTGAAGATGTCTTACTATTGAGAATCTCAGGACGTACCATGGAACGGAGTTGAATAACTGTCCGGATCGATGAATTTTTTGGTTGGTAATGATGATGCCAAAATGGGATTCATTAGTACTTGATTTATATACTCTTGTAATGCAAATAACCGCTCAGCTATGAAATCAGGGCGCATATTTCCTAAAATTAGAGGAAAGCATTTATGGATTAGATGCAAACATACCTCACAATACACAAGGTACAACTCAACAGAAGGTTACAATAGTTGCCACCCTCATCGACCTTTAATCGTACTAATAAAAAAAACCGCTAACTAAAACATCCTGATCGATTATTTTCCTTCAACTGTGCATTTTAACACGCACATCTTCAGAAACCCACCCGCCAGTCTACTTCTCATGGAAACAAAAACCGCTGTCAGCTGTTCTACTCTCAAAACAGCACACTTACCAATAAACTTCTTTCCGGGAAATGGCAAATCAATCCCTGATATTTGCAAGCACTTGTTAAGCGAAGCGAAGTCATTGTAACGCCTTAGAATACGCCAGCTGTTTTCTGGATATGGTCCACGCTGTACTCTCAACACGTATTCCTACCAAGGAAGACAAAGAAGAATAAGAAGAAGAATGTAAAACCAATGCAGACACTATTCGGAGTATTTCTCAGTAACAAGATAAAGGCGTGCAGAAGATCTTGCAACATAAGCACACCATCAGCAACGAAGCGAAGCGTCACATCGAATGTATGGAATAATTACAATAATAACTATTCCTTTCGACGCGCGACGCAACGGTTCGCTTTCCGCGTCAGCATGGCAGCGGCCTAAGTATGTCGATCGATACATGTTATCATTGCTTTCAATTTTGTCAAACCTCTTAACGGAATCCCTTCTCTTCTCATCAGTTCTGTTTTTCTTTATCATTGCATGCGGTACGAGATGTGCTGCAGTGTATTATTATATAGATTACAGAACCAAATTACGTTGGCACTTTAATTCATTCTAAACCTAAGGTAGGTTTTAAGACGAAGTTTACCGCCCCGAAAAAAAAAATACGTTTTGATGTTTCTAATAATATTGGAAAAAGATATCAAAAATCTAAAAATAATATTTTTCCGTAATTAAAAAAAAAAGAAAATTTACGTGTGAACACATTTTTCTATGTCATCATGGTACAACGTTGGACTAGAAAAAAATACCTTCGGCTTTGTTTAGAGTCCAACATTTCTTATGATGAGATAGAAAAAAATATTTTTAAGGGTAAAGTTTCTCATGAATCTAAGGAAGAAAAAACTGGTGTTCTTGGATTGTTTTTTTTTTTTTTTTTCCTTTGGTTTGTTTTCCGTCGATCTTGTTTTCCGTGCTGAGCACCAATGCTACCGACGCCAGGGAGGCAGCTCCCACACCTGGACCCTACCTATCGACCCATCAACTCATGAACCGGGGACCAACGGCTTTACTTCCCTTCCGAAGGAAGGCGTGATCAGAGATGCTATGCCTCAGAACATCCCGGCGGCGCCGACTGGGATTGAACCCAGGCCTGCTGGGGTGAGAGGTAATCACGCTTACCACTACACCACCGGCGCCGCTACTTCTTGGATTGTTGATATTGATTCCTGATAATCCAATATTTTAAGAAAAATCAAAAGGTGCCAGAAAAAAAATGTTTTTAGGCGCATATTTAAAACCAAATGATCAAATTGACGTTTATCAGAAAACGGGACGATTCCATCTTGTTATCCGATCCAGGGTGACGCTGAATCAAAAACAAATTCGGAATTAATTTTTTCTCCAACTGTCCCTGGAATTCTGTCCATAAACTACTTGGAAAGTTTTCAGGGGGATGAATTGACAAACGGCAACTCACTCAAGTATCCTAACTTTTGAAGAGCACCACCAGTGAAAGATTTCCATTCACTCGAAGAACTCTAAGTCAAGAGCTCAGCCCTTGAAAATGAGCGTAAGTGTAAAAGAACAGAGGTCACATTATGCAACCGAGACGAACCGTTCATACGAAAAACGCTTCGTTTCAACTTCCTCAATGAGGTCTCAGGATTTTAAAAAGAAACTTATTCTGAGGGAAAAGCGATTGAAGATGGACCGAATCTTTCAAGAGCAGCGAAGCCAAATGGAGAAAGACCTTTTGGGTCAAACAATTATAGCAGAAGAAATATATAGGGGTAGACGGGACAAGACCGCCACCAAGGCAAGATGAGCATCCATAAAGTTTACACTTTTCAACAATAATGCTAAGATGCAACGTTTTAAAAATGATTGAGAAATATTTAATAACTATCAAGAAACTGATGAAAATATCCGAACCGAACAAAATATTCGGATTTTTTTTTTAAATTGTAGCTGATGGAGATTTCTGACTTCGAGATGATTGATGAGTTTGTGTACCTCGGATCAATGGTTACATAAAAAACAACTGCAGCGGAGGAATTCGAAGACGCATTATTTCCGGAAGTCATGCTTACTACAATATCTTGAGGTCTGGTAAACTTCGCCCCCGTACTAAGTGTACCATTTACAAAACGCTTAAGGCCGGTAGATCTCTACGGCCGCGAGACGTGGACAATGCTCAAGAAAGGCCTGCTCTATGGTTTCAGTAACGGTTATAATTATCGGAGATAGTTGAACGTTGACCTGGTCTCCCACCCTCGTGATGGGGCTGCGATCTTAGGTGTAGCTTCCGGGGTTTCATATTCAACCACGGATCATTTCGCCGAAGGTCATTCCGCCGCTAACAATTTCAGCGAGGGATAATTTTACCGAAGGACGTTTCGCAGTCGGTCATCTCGCCGAAGATCATTTCACTGGCACCGCGTTATTCCGAGATTTACAATTCTTGTAAACACTTTGGAGTAGCGGGATTTGGAAATTTTATGAGATTTTTTGTTTGTTTTAAGGTGATTCCTTGTAGATTCCACAAATCTTGATAGAATTGGAATTAAACTTGTTGCATCTAAATTTATTGATTTTAACACATGATTCCTTATGTTAAACATGAGCAGTTCTTTCTAGTTATAATGTTTTTGTTATTAATGGCCTTGTGGCTGAAACATGTAGCCAGACTTCTTTTGAAAGGTTCATTGTTTTTGCATTGCTGCCAATATTGATTTGGACGGAAAGTTGAAAAATGCCTTTCCTACTTCGCTGATTTTTTTTATTTATTTGTGTACACGGGAAATGGCTCTTATGTTAGCTAAAGCCCTACAGTAAAAGTATGGACGTCTGTCAAAAGTTGTTCCAATCGAACCGTCAAAATGCACCGCTTTGCTCGATTGGAAAAGCTTTTTTCAGTTTTGTGGTGACAGTCGTCCATACTTTTACTGTAGGGCTTTAATGTTAGCCTATGAATGTATAGATTGGGTCCATCGATAAACTTCTACACTCTGAAAAATCTTCACGATCGATTTACATGCAAACATAGCAGACTTTCGTCCAACCTACTGTTCACATAACATTTACCAAAATTGTGCGTAGCCTAGCAAAATCCAACTTCGATTATCTACGTCAGGTAAATTAGACTTGGGGTGAAACTACTGAAAAACTTGTAGCTTCTACGTGTCATTTTTTTTAAATGCTTTTTACGTAATTGGTGCGTGAATTCTGAATGTGAATAGAAGCAGTCAATATTATGCAATTTTATCGGGCAGATATAAATTCCCCGTGTTTTAATTGATACTAATATCTGCTCATTAAATTGCAAATTATTCACTGCTTGATTATTATGACGTAAAATACAAGGGGTGGTCACTCTACACACTTATTTTGCGCCAACATTTTTCTAAGTGTACCTCAGTGTGCCGCAGCTGTATCGGCAGTGCCAAAAAGTCATTGAACTGACTTTTGTTTGCTTGTGAAAAATGCCTTGTTTGGCAACCCGGTATTTTAACAGCTCTTGTGTTTGTTTTGATTTTCAATGTTTTCAAAAATATCCATCTTCGGCGGAAGGCCGACCCCGCACAACGAACGTCAATCATTAGTCAACCAGCCCTTCTGGGAGCCAGCGGAGGAAACGGATTTGCACCGAATTTGTCACCGCCCGAGTATCATCCGTCGGAAAACTGGAAACCAACACCGGCCGGACACGTCGGACTGATGAAGGACGCATCGCTGACCCGATACGGACCAGTCAACTTCATTCAACCGGAACAGCAACAGGGCGCAGTGATGATGGTCTACGGACCTGATAACAACACAGCCAACACCGATAAGCTGTTCAATCTGCTCTTCCTGTGTGAAAATGTTGTCAGAATAAAGTTCCTGAAAACCAAAGAGGGTACCGCCGCCATGGTCTAGATGGGAGACGCCATCGCAGTTGAACCAATCGAACGTACACCCTGCCGAACAATTCGATCAGCTTCAAGGTCTACAGCGCCTCCAAGAACAATCAATTCCCAGGCCTGCTGCTGACTGCATTCACCACCAAGGACTGCCACCCGTCGCAAGTGCGAATGTTCCCGCTGAAATCGGAAATTTCCTCCTCCGGATTGGTCGAGTTCCCCAGCGTAGCCCTGGCGGTGAACGCCATCATGATGCGCGATCGATCACAAATGCACAAAATTCCAGTTCATTATGAAGCTGTGCTTCTCCTCCTCCAAGAAGATGACCGGTGCGTGGAGCAACGAGAACATCGAAAACTCGCTAGCTTTCTTTTTCTGAGAAAAGAAAGGATTTTCCTTTTTCTGTATAGTTAATGTTATGATTCGTAATTATAATGTCTTATTGTGTTAGTTGGAAGTGCAAAAAGGCAGGAGATGTGCGGTATACAGTCAAGAGCTTAAGAAAGTGTGAAATGAGCTGTATTAATGATTCGGTAGAAATGTATACGGAACTAAAGTCGACGTACACTCTAAGTCGATTTAATCAAAGTAGGCTATGCTTCGCATATTTGACAACCCAGGACTCGAGGCCTTTCATTCCCAGGAGCTCGAATAGGCAAGTAATAATTTAGCTGCAATCTGCAGCGTTGGGGGATTCCCCTTTGAACCAAGTGGAAATTCACATTGGCGATCCTGCCAGGTCGTTTTTAATTAAAAAGGTTTAAGATTTTAAACTTTTTTCTTTAAAATTTCGGAACGTTTCTACTGCGCCTGTGATCTGCTGGGCAGCATCGAAATTGTAAGTATTTTTTTTAATAATATTCATAAAAAATAAACTAATTAAAAAAGCTTCCTGAGACAAATTTTATTTTTATTTGAAAACAATAATATTTTCCAAAAATAAAATTAAGAAGCGAAAAATACATTCTCTCGAATAAACCGTATCTATGCATTGAAAGTATATTTCGATTTTATACTATGGCACGCATAAACCATTTTTATACTAAGTTTGCATTCTCTCCCTTTATACCGACCTTTGCGTCGGTACGGAGAGTTGCGATTTAGCGTAACTTTTATACTATTTAGATTTCAATATTTTTTGAGTGTGTGGCAACCACGATGAAACATCGTCACCCTGTGAAAAAATATGAACGAATAAAAGCGTACGGCAAAGCAAAGTACCTCACATTTTGCATTCTCTCTAATTAAATTATACTTACTAATTTAAAGAGCTTAAGAAAGTGTGAAATGAGCTGTATTAATGATTCGGTAGAAATGTATACGGAACTAAAGTCGACGTACACAGTGATGGAAAAGTTCGCAAAAAATCACTATGACTCGCGAACTTTTCCTTTGGTTCACTGGTTGTTCACACTGGTTGCCAGTAACTTTAAAGATCATAAAAATTGTAACCATCACGGTGTTTCGCTAAAACCCATTAATGGGTATAAAAATACCCATTTCCGCTAAAAGTGCCCCTCCTCATTTAATGGGTAAACTATGGTTTACTCATAAATGGGTAAATTGGTGGTCTGTCAATAAATGGGTGTTTTTTCACCCATTTTCTTATATTGTGTTTACCGTAAAATGGGTGAAAAAATACCCATTTTTACAAATGGAGGATGCAAGCGCTCGTTGATGTAAAAATGTTTCTAAAACATTGAAAATAAATGCAGGTGTTCCGCTCAAATTTTTCACGAAACATTATAATACAAATTATCAATTGTATTGACTTATCCGTAAGCCTCTCCAACCAATATACCAAATATACTGCGGACAGTTAAGTAACTGTTTGCATTGAGGTTTGCATTCCCAATGAGCCGGTGACGGAAATGAGACGATAAAATTTCGAAGTGTTTTTTCACCCATTAATGGGTAAAAAATATACCCATTATTCAGCCGTGAACTGATTCTTTAAATGGGTATTTTTTCACCCATTTTATGATTTCAAAATTCCCCCATTTTTTGACAGCTGCATACATGGTTTGAAAATGGGTAGTTTTTTACCCATTAATGGGTTTTCACGAAACACCGTGATGGGTGCCAAACAGCGTCAATGACGACGCCCGGGTGTGCTCAAGTTTGATTTTGGCACACTGTGTAAAGTGACCAACCCCTTGGTAAAATATGTATGAGACACATATAATCATAAATAAATGAATGTAAAATTTTAAGATTTAAAATTTCCCAGCTTGCTGCCAATGGTAATTTGATTACCATCCAACATTGGCAGCAAGCTGGGAAATTTTAAATCTTTGAGCAGTTCGTGATGCCATATTGATGTTTTGCATATCTGAAAAGCACGTAAATCTAGTTTCACGTAAACTTATTTCAGAATGCACTGGAAAACTCCACTTAACTCTTTCCCATCCACGGTTATTTTGGAGCACCATGCCTTTTTTGACAGTGTGTTTTAACTTTCTGAACTTACAACCTATATTTATAAAACCATTGCAACATAGTCTGTAATAGTTCTTCTATTATCGGAAAGTAAATCTAATCAAACATCTCAATACATTCCAGAGATACTGTTTTTTTTTAAATTTATTAGCCAAAACACGGAATATTGGCGGAATAGTGTTAAAGAACGAAAATTCTCGTACAGTATAATGGGTTATTCTGCAAAATGGGATTCTGCAAAACGGGTCCTTCCGCGATTTGCCGTATAACCTTTTTTTTTAATTATTATACTTAATGACTTGAAATTTTCATTGAAAACTGTTTAGTTTATAACGTAATATAATTTTGATGAAGGTCTGAGAGGAGTTTTATCTCGAGTAATAGTCATTCGAACAACATGTTGTCTAAAATATTTTGTACAATCTCAAATTTGAAATCAGCGATATACAAGTAAATTCTTTCGTCATTGTTGGTATTGAACTCGTGAAACCAAACCATTTTTTTTTTCATCAAAATTATATTTCAGAATATCGTGCAGCTTTTTTTTAGTGCTGTTAATCAAAAACTGTTAGCAAGGGAAGATAGTAGCGTATAGAATTCTGCATACCGGCTTATTCAACACCAAGTAAAATTAATCGCTGATATACCTAAATTGCTACCACAGCAAATCCCATACACGGAAAATGCATGTTTACCTTAAATAGCAACAGATAAGAAGCCGAGCTATCTCTAGCACACGCTTCTTTACCACATTCAAGCAACCTGTAAAACAACACACCTAATCCACCAACACTGCGCATTTTCCCATCGCAACCCCGCATAGATAGGCGAACGAAAGATGGAAAAACTTCTCTGCCATTGCATGAGACGTGGAACAATCTCGTTCAATCAACTTACCGTATGTCCATCGATGTTCTGTGCTGTTTCAATAGAACAGGTGATCGCTTCCGTATCATCTAGAACGACCTTTTGTTCAAGTCGTTTCTCAAATATAGCCATTTGTTGTCGGTGTTACAGTGGGAACAATAATCGGACATTTTTTCCGATCCCATATCCCACCGAAACGCGAAAATAAGCAAAAGCGTAAATAACAACAAGTAGGAATTTATCGACAAGCTTCGTTCGAAGGCCCGAAAAGTTTACAAGGTAGCAACAAAAAACAATTTCTACACAAACACAGTTGGTGGCCTTTTTTTCTCTGGCTACTTTATCCTTCACAGATCTCAGGGCGGGTAGCTAATACAGAGGGTAGCAATGGTCCGGAAAGGGGATCAGCAGGAAGATCCCCACCCACTGTAATAACCAGTGCAGGAGCACCAACACTGATATCGACTGATTTCCCTACTATCACGCACGGTTTAAAAATTTCAACATCCAAGTCTAGAAGGTCCAGGCGCTGATAAAAACACTGCACAATGGTGACTCCATATTTTCTCACTAATGATACCTTCCGAAAACACAACAACAGAGGAATGCCCTTCGGGAAAATGGGAAAAAATCTTCCTTGGAGTAGGAACTAGTTTTTCTTTTCTTGCTGGCGATACACGCACAGTTCCTAATGGTTAATAATTCACTACCAGCCTAGTAGAGCACCGTCAAAAATAGGAATCCGGCAAGCTGGTTGCTTCATGCGCTCACTAATGGATGGAATATGATTCCAAATGCAGAACGGATCGAATTGTGCATTAATTTTCACACTTTTCAAACAAAAATTTTCACTACTGCTTACTGCTGGTGTGGAGAAAAATGACGATGAATTGATTTTCCATTTCCACAAACGCACCCACTCCACTCCCCCGATGACTCTGATAGTTACGAACGACGCATCAGCGGAGGAGGTGGATAAAAGAAAATTTTGGCGTTTTTCTTTGTGGTGTTTTTCGTGTTGTCCACCAACAAGGGGTGATTCATCGGCAAATCGGAGTAAGGGGAAGTATGTTCGTGTGCCCAGTGGGGTTCTTTTTCATCTAAAAATGTATACACTCCGAGAACTGGATGCTCGTTTGTGATAAATACTTCAGGAAACAGCTCGCGATAATTTGTCCGAGCAAGTTACCAGCTCGAACTGACGTGTCCATGCAAAAAGTAGGAACCCCCTCACGTTTATTTTGAAGACGAAATGAATATCCCTAATTAAAAAATGCAATAATCGAACGATAGTCCAAATGATAGAACAATTCGACAGTGAGCATTCATAAGGGCGAATACGCGATGATCGATTCTCTTCATCGATTTTCTCTTTGCATTGCTACAGCTAGGCGAAACAATTTTCTAGAATTTGTTCAATGCAGAGTAGTAACAGGTTGTATTGGCTATCAAAAGCAACAGCAAACGCATCGAGAAACGTTAAATCTAGCGAGTTATTAACAAAAGAGAAAATCGACGAAGAGAATCGATCATCGCGTATAGGCCCTTATGCATGCTCACTGTCGAATTGGGTTGTTTAATTACTACACACAAAAAAACAAATATTGTAGCTCTAAAAATTATGCAATTTTATATTGAAAGTTTCGCAGATTTCGTAGTTGTAACTACGAAAATATTCAAAACGAAACTTTTTTTTTCGTTCAAAAATGTTTCTTTCACTTTCGACTTGTAATTTTAAAAGTGGATTTTTTTAAAATAAAAATTGTATAACTGTCAAAAATACCTCTTAATTGCAAAGTTTTGGCAGCACTGCACCTTAGTTTTCTGCTAAATTTTACACGTGCTAAAGTAAACAAGACGTAACAGTGAGCAGCAGGAGTGCTTCCACTTGTCCAAATTTTTCTTCCGCCGGTTTATCTATGGCATTGGAATCGGTTCCTGCTACTAGCAGAGCGGTACACCACGACTCGAGCCACCACTAATTTCAACAAATTTCAAGTGTCATAGCAACCAACGAAATAAACTCAGTGTGCCTGAATGATCAGCGAGCAAGGGTTCCGCAAGTGTGACGTCCGGCTCGAACAAACATGCATTCTGATCCTGACAATTGGAACTGCTTATGGATCAACGCCACGAAATAGCTTCTGGAAATGTCGAAAGGTGCAATAAGTAAGAATAGATTTTAAACCCCTCACCGTCAGGAAATAAAACAGTTTTTGTTATATTTTTGCAGAAAAAAAACGAGCTTATTTCAACGGAAAAGGTAGGTTGTGAATCGGGAAGCGTACACGGCTAACAAGCTGCTGATTCAGCTACGCTTGAGGCAGGAAGAAAATTCTCCGATGTACAACCCAATTGAGAAGCATACCAGGACGTTTATGCTAAGAAACTCGACTTTGAGCGAATCAGTCCGTAGAAAGGAAATCTTTGGAGGATTTCAAGGCCACTGCACCGACGCTTTAGGAAACCGGGTGGACGAAATGGTCCCAATAGAGGATGTCCGCAGCATCAGCTGATGAGATCAAATTCTTTCGGATAAATCAGACGGATGACCAGAGCAGCTTAGTCCGGAACCAGATAACGGAATCCAGTTTTAATGTAAATAAAATATATTTAGTAATAAATCATTTGAATAGTAATAATTTTTAATGTAATACAAATTAGGTCTTAAAATGAAAATGATGCTGTAAAAATTAAAATACTTGTTTTTAAATTGAAAATATATATTTTTACGATCCGAAATACCATACTTTCGTATTAAAAGTTGTTTTAATTAAAAATATCTAATCCGCTTTTAATTTCAACACTCCCACGCTTTCCATTTGACAGTACAACAATTCATTTTGAAAGTTTTAACTTTTAAAAGTAGGGAGCAAATAACTTTTAAATTAACAGTTGACTGAGTTTTGTTTTGAATGCTGAAGACTTTCTACCAAAAAGAACCAACGCAAACTTTTAATTTCACCAATGCTTTTTTTAATTTTTTTATCGATAATTTTTTGTGTGTAGTTTTTATATATCATCTGAAAGAGCTTTGTTTTCTGAGCATCACTATATTTTTGTCGATCCCATATACATTCATCTTAGTTTGTAAATCAAGATTTAAATTTTTATTTGTGTGTGTGTGTGTGTGTGTGTGTGTGTGTGTGTGTGTGTGTGTGTGTGTGTGTGTGTGTGTGTGTGTGTGTGTGTGTGTGTGTGTGTGTGTGTGTGTGTGTGTGTGTGTGTGTGTGTGTGTGTGTGTGTGTGTGTGTGTGTGTGTGTGTTTTTTTTTTTTTTTTTTTTTTTTTTATAGTAAGGTTTAGGAAAGCTTCAAGAAGCCTGGCCTGTAGTGAAGGTGGCACGGTGTGGTATCCACTAGTTGCCTAGTGCAGCTCCACTAAAACCCATTCCTTACTCTCTCCTCTGCCTGGATCCCCCCGGGACCACTGTGAAGCGACTACTTCGGGGGGTGGCTGTGCTCATGCACTTGTCGTACTCTCAGCGCTAGCTGGCGTTGCTAGATCGCTGCTCTTCTCTCCATTTACGCTGCAGCTCTGACATAATCTGTGTGACTGCCCTGCTGACGGCATTCCAAGAGTCCTCCTCTCGACACATTTCATCAACGACATTCTCCACGTTAAGGACGGGCATCTCCGTTCGCACTGCCTCGAACCTTGGACAGTCAAAGACCACATGCTCCGGCGTTTCATCGACGTTGCCACACTCCGGACAGAGGGGTGACGCTGCGTGTCCGAACCGATGCAGGTATTTCCTGAAGCAGCCGTGGCCAGACAGGAACTGCGTTAGGTGGAAATTGACTTCTCCGTGTTTTCTGTTCACCCAGGTCGAAAGAATCGGTATTAGTCTATGTGTCCATCTACCGTTCTCCGTCGTGTTCCACTCCTGTTGCCACTTAGCCAATGACTCCACTCTCACAACTTTCCGTACTCTTCCGGCTTCTCTCTGCCTGTAGCACTCACTGTCCTCCACCAGGGTGATGCCGATAGGGATCATACCGGCGATAACGCATACTGCTTCCGACGAGATGGTTCTGTACGCACTCACGACTCGCATGGCCATGAGCCGGAACGTACTGCTCAGTTTCCTTTGGTTCTGCTTCGTTTCCAGCGCTGGAACCCAGGCTGGACCTCCATATCTCAGTATCGATGATGACACGCTGGCCAGAAGACGCCTCTTGCTACTGCTGGGACCAGCGTTGTTCGGCATGATTCTAGCTATCGCGTTGATGGCCTTCGAAGCCTTCTCACAGGCATATTCGACGTGGCTGTTGAAGTTTAGCCGGTCATCGATCATCACTCCCAGGTATTTTAACACACGCTTCGAGGCTATGGTGTGCTCCCCGACGGTGATTTCCGCCCGCTGTACCGCTTTACAGTTACTGACCAATAACACTTCCGTTTTGTGGTGGGCTATTTGCAGCTTCGCTCCTTTCATCCAGTTACCAATCATGTCGATTGCCTCGGTTGACAACACTTCCACCTCTTCCAGCGTCTCGCCTGTTACCGTCAAGACGACGTCGTCCGCAAAGCCAACGATCTCAACTCCTTTGGGCAGTTTCAGCGTTAGCACGCCGTTGTACATCCCGTTCCAGAGCGTTGGACCAAGGATGGAGCCTTGTGGAACTCCCGCTGTGATCCTAATCGATCTCTGTCCCATGTCTGTCTCGTAGACCAGAACCCGGTTCTGGAAATAACTCCTCAGGATCCTGCACAGGTAGTCAGGGACCCTCATTCTATGCAGTGCTTCGGCGATGGCCTCCCAGCTGGCGCTGTTGAACGCATTCTTGACGTCGATCGTTATGACGGCGCAATATCGATCTCCTCTCCGCTTCTGTTTGGACGCCTTTTCAGCTCTCTCGACCACTGTCCGAATTGCATCCACCGTCGATCTCCCTTTCCGGAATCCGAACTGCCTCTCCGACAATCCGTGCTCACTCTCCGTGTATTTCGTCAGCCTGTTTAGGATGATCCTCTCCAAAAGTTTTCCGAGTGTATCCAGCAGGCATATAGGCCTGTATGATGCTGGATCCCCCGGCGGTTTTCCTGGTTTCGGCAGCAACACTAGCTTCTGTATCTTCCACCTGTCAGGGAAGTGACCCTCGTTCAGGCATTTCTGCAGCACCATCCTGAACATGTCCGGGGATGACTGGATCGCCGCTTTCAACGCTACGTTGGGGATTCCATCCGGACCGGGAGCTTTCTTCACCTTCAATCCTTTCGCCACTACTACGAGCTCCTCGTTGGTGATTTCGACGTTATCTCCCTCTCTTTCTCCGTACGGTGTAGGTGGCCAGGTTGTTGGGTCGTGCTTCGGGAAAAGTCCTTCCACGATGACTTTCAGCTTCTCTGGGCACATTTCAGCGGGCATCGTTGGACCTCTGATCTTCGCCATCACGACTCGGTATGCGTCACCCCAGGGGTTGGCATCAGCGTCTCGACACAGCTCCTTAAAACAGTTCGACTTGCTCTGCTTAATCACTCGTTTAAAAGCGGCCCTGGCCGCTCGAAACACTTCTCTTCGTTCCTCTCTGTCTGCTTCCGTTCTTGCTCTCTGAACACGTCTTCTGGCTCTGAGACAACTAGCGCGGAGAGTACTAAGTGCCTCGTTCCACCAGTAGACTGGACGCCGTCTGTTATTTGGCTCCAGTTTCCTCGGCATGGTCGTGTCACATGCTCTCACTAACGTTTCTGTCAGCTCGTCCGCATTTAGATCTACGGGACTCCCGTCCGCACGAAGTGCCTCAACGAACAAATCCTTGTCGAAAGCTTTCGTCTTCCACTTTCGGTCACAAGTTCTCGTCCTCCGTACTGCCACAGTATTCCGTTGACCGATGCCATATCGTATCGCCTGATGGTCGCTATGGGTATATCCTTCGCACACTCTCCAATCCATGTTTGCCATCAGCGACGGACTGCAGAAAGTAACGTCGATAATGGATTCTC